GGGCCGAGTATCCTTCACGGGCCGAGCCGCGGGGCCGGGGGGATCCCACACCCGGTCAGGAGCCGCCTCGGGGGTGGCTTCGAGAAAACTTCGGCGTCGTGGGGTTTAAACTGCTGTGGGAAAGTTGTGCTTCTCAGGCCGCTCCGGAGTTTTCTTGTTTTCTCTTTTCTGCGAGTTTCTGCCGCTGGGAAGCGTATTTTCCATCCTAACTTGGGGATTCTTGTTTTCAGAATTTTAGTCATAAGAACTGCTGACACAAGCTCTAAGCTTAAGTGCTACTTAAACCATTACTGAGGTGAGGCAGGAGTGAGCTGCGCCGTGGAGAGTTTTATCCAGTGATGTTAGTCAATTTCAATGCAAACAACAACTTTTAGATGTATGTGTTTGTTTACTGTAGAAACATTTTCCCTGTGATACATCTATCCCTCAGTTACAGGTTTAGATCCCTTCAAATAAACATAATGAAGGTGAGATTTTTCATCCTGGTGATACCATGAAAGATGAATGCAAAGCAGATCCTGTCATAAAAGCACTTTAAACAGTAAAATGCAATTAGTTTTCTGTTTCCTGGATAAACATCAAGTATGTTATTACTATGCCATACAATTATGGGACCAACTGTAGTATAGTTAACCAAAAGGCATATCAGCATTTTGTATCTCATGGATGAAGTTTACCCTTTCCCAAAAAAAAGTATATAAAATCAATCAAACAGGCTATTATATCTTTTAATGAGCTGATGGATCCAGTTTCTATTGTCCTTAACACAATACTAGGGATAGAGCTTTAACATTTCATTTTGAACAGGATTTAGGAGAAGAACGTCGTGTATTGAAAGAAGATCAAAAATTGTTTCGGAGCAAGGCACAGAAATATTTGATAGAGACAAACAGAAGGAGAAGGTAAGTAACTAAGGTTCCTTTGGTGGGAGGAAAAAAAAAAAGAGAAAAAAGAATCAAAACCATGACACAGCTCAATATATCTCTATTATTTGCATGTTCATTTTGTTAACTACCCTCATTGCTAGAGGAGCCTAGTCTGAAAAGTTTCAGCAGTCCTGTTTCTTGCTATAGGACAAATAAAATATAAAAAGAACAATATTCTGATTTACTCACTATCTTCTGGAATCTCACTGTAGTCACCTCTGATTGTATAAAGGAAAGGTTAGTAGCTCTTACGTCTCGTGGCCCTGATCTGTATTTCTAGTGTTCTTCTGGGTTTTATTACTTCAGTGGATGTGTGAAAAATGCGTTTCAGCTGTATCATAGAATCAGAATTTTAGGGGTTGGAATCACCCTTGCAGATCATCTAGTCCCAGCCCCCTGCCATGGGCAGAGACATCTCCTCACTAGATCTGGTTGCTCAAGGCCTCATCCAGCCTGGCCTTGAACACTGCCAGGGTTGGGGCAGTCGTCACTTTCCTGGGCAACCTATTCCAGTGTCTCACCACCCTCACAGTAAAAAACTTTTTTCTAATATCCATCCTAAACGTCCTCTCCTTCAATTTGAACCCATTACCCCTTGTCGTATCATTGTAGTTCCTAACAAAGAGCCCATCTCCAGCTCCCTTGTAGGCCCCTTCAGATACTGAAAAGTTGCTATGAGGTCTCCACGCAGTCTTCTCTTCTCCAGGCTGAGCAGCTCCAACTTCCTCCGCCTGTCTTTACTGGGGCAATGCTCCACTCCTCTTATCAACTTCATGGCCTCATCTGGACTTGCTGCAAGAGTTCCATGTCCTTATGTTGAGGGCACCAGAACTGCATGCAGTATTCCAGATGGGGTCTCGCAAGAAAATGTATATAAAATATATAGTATAGGCCAGCAGGCAGTTGTTGCCTTCTGAAGTGTATGCTTTTCTGTCTGCACAGCATAACAGTTGCACAGCCTCCCCTTCATGGTGGGGCTTTGTATTCCTACTTCCCAACAAACACAAAATGATGTCTTTCTAGTACAGGATTATATTTATAATAAAGGTATTTTGTACTGACATTTTAAACAGAGCTTCGAATAGTCTGTCTTTCTGCATACATGAGAATGCAAAGTCATGAAATATCGTGTGACAAATGGATTAAGCAAATCATACACTGAAGTGTTTCAGTGAAGTGCTGTAAGTAGGATTAGAGGTCTTTTCCCTAGCACTGAGATCATGCATGCACATACAGGAGACTCAGCTGTGTATCCCGTAGAGGCAGATAGGTTCCTCCTGCCTCAGACCAGGTTCCTCTGCCTATATTAACTCATTAACACTCATCCCCCATGGTTCTTGTATCAGTTAATTTCTTTTGCACGATATTTACTTACTGACATATGTTGATAACTCATAAAAGAGGCTATATATATTGTTTATATTGCCATGAATGCACTGTGAAGTATGACAGTTCATTTTCTACCTCTAACCTTCATACAGAATGTTTGAGGTTGGAAGGGATCTCTTGAGGTCATCTGGTCTAACACTCCTGCTCAAGCTGGGCCACCTGACTCCACAGCCTCTCAGGGCAATCTGTGCCAGTGCTTGGTCATCCTTGCAGTAAAAAAACAAAAGTGTTTCCAGATGTTCAGAGAGAAACCGCTGTGTTTCAGTTTGTGCTTGTTGCCTCTGGTCCCATCAGCAGGCATCACTGAAGGGAGCCTGGCTCTGTCCTCCTTGCACTTTCCTCCCAGGTATTTATAGATGTTAATAAGATCCCCTTGAGCCTTCTCTTCTCCAGGCTGAACAGTCCCAGCTCTCTCAGCCTTTCCTCCTAAGAGAGATGCTCCAGTCCCTTTATCATCTTTGTATAATTTTATGAAGTTGATTGAGCATTACCCAATGTAATGTCAGTCTTAAATTTATAAAGTGTTTACTAAAAAGTAAAAACAGTGAATTCCCTTTAGGAAGCAGCTCTGGTGAAGACACAGCAGAGCTTCTGCTTTGTTCTTAATCTTGTATCATTTAGGTCCATTCTTTTTGTGTTACTTTGTGGAGGAAAACTTTTCTGTCAGTTTTTCATTGCGTTCTTTTTTTGAGGAACTGCCAGCAGCCTTCCTTTAAACAAGGTTATACCAAAGCTGTGCCCAACACCGATAGCCCCTGGTGCCCAGCACTTTTTAAGCTAATGAGAACTGCATACGCAGGCTCTTGCAGATTGAGGTCTTCTGTTTTCAGCCTTTTCTAAACATACTTGTAATGAAATTTTCCCTGACACTGATGTATTGATTTGCTGTCAGTACATCTAAAATGCAGCAACTTCAGCATTAGAAATATTCAACTTCTACAAGATGTGCTCAGTTAACATGTTTAATAGTAAAAGACAAAAACATCACTTGATCAGAGAAGAGCAAGTATAGCTTTGGAAAACAGTCTCAGTAACTTAAGTCATAGATCTTTTTCAGAGCCTGTCTGATGCCATCTGTTTCTTTGCATCTCTTGTATTGACCAAGCTCCTTAGTTTTGTGTTAACAGCAGTACTCCAACACAGCATAAAACCCTAGCCTATGGATTATCTTTATACAAGTTGTCTGAGTAACAAAAAAGTAATTTCTTTATTGTCTCACTGATGCTCAAAGTTGCAATTTCAAGATCAGATTAAGCATTAATTTTGCTCTGGGGCAGTAGCTGATATATATTTTGTTTAAATAACAGTATTCTGGAAATAAGAGCTACTGACTAAGCACATACTTGATGTAAATCAATAGGATTTCATATTTTGTGTTTATATAACACAATACTTTCTAAATACCAGCTGTCAGGTTGCTGGGGAATATAGACTTCCTGCTGTTACTTCTCAGTGCAAAACATGCATCCCATTTTACTGTGATGTTACTGGTTGCAGCTAGTTGGTCCATTCTGGAAATGCAATTGTCTATGTGCATTTTAAAATAAACTTTACAGTCAGTTATCTTGGTTCAGGTTTTGAATTACCTTGAGATAGCTAATCCATCTGTTGTAACTGGGGAAGGCAATGCTTTCCCAATTTATATCAGTTTCCAATCTATTCCCATTGCTATTGTGTTTTCCATTAGACTTTATTTTCAATATATGCACAAGCTTTGTGCTCCACCTACTGGCTGATTAACATTGATTATGTAATAAAAGACCTTTAAATTATTCATTAGTGTTGTTGTCAGAGATTGAAAAGCAGTCTAGGGCCAGAAATAGGAGAACAATGTTAGCACTTGGTAAACAGAGTGCTTTCTACATCAGAATGAAACCACAGTGATCACTTTAATCATGTAGATTTGAAATACAACATTGACATTTCTGATAATGGGCCACAGGATTTTGCTGAATTTGCAAGGCCTTGGGACAGATGCTTGCCAAACTTGTTCTCTCTGAACTTTTCTTGACCTGCCAGAAGCTTTGTTTTGCTTGGTTTAGCTGTAACAACCATTTCTCTAATTGACCAGGTGTCTGTGGCTAATTTACATTGCCTTTGTTTATCTGTTTATGGTATGACTATAGTTTCATATAGACAGCAGTAACAAACAGTTATTCTATGCATAGAATGAGA